ACTGGTAACTGAAGTCCTTGAAGGAGAGGAGACAGAATGGAGTAGACAAAAAATATTTGAAGAAAAACGGCCAGGCTTTTCCAAATGTATTGAAAAACAAGGATCCAGAAATCCTTCCAATTTTAGTATATGTGCTGCCGAAGCGAGCACAAGGATCCAGAAATCCAAGAAACTCTGTGAACCCTGAACAGAATAAATAGCAGAAGACCACACCTAGACACATCATAGATAAGCTTCTGAAAACTAAATACAAAGAGAAAAATTTTTAAGCAGCTAAAAAGACTCAGGCCATAGGGGAAAACAGCGTATTTGTATGGTTATGAGGAGATGTTAAATATATGACAATCAGAGCAAAAAGGCAGAGAGTATCTTTACTCCCTTCGCGTAGACCAGTGGTTCTCAAATGGTATCAATTCCACTCCCCACCCCCATGAGGAATTTCACAATTGCAATGTCCGGAGACCTGTTTGGTCCTCATGAGTAAGGGATGCTGTTAGCATCTAGGGCCAGGGATGCTGCTAAACATTCCATAACCCTCCAAAACAAGGAGTTATCCAACCCAAATGTCAGTGCCACTGTTATGAAACCATTATGAGGTAAAGATTTCTTAGAACCCAGGGGCACCTGGGTGGCTCAGTCGGTTAAGTGTCTGTCTTCGGCTCAGGTCGTGATCCCCCAGGGTCCTGGGATCGAGCCCCGCATCGGGCTCCCTGCTCGGCGGGAAGCCTGCTTCTCCCTCTCCCACTCCCCCACCCCCCGCTTGTGATCTCTCTCTCTCTCTGTTGAATAAATTAAGTCTTTAAAAAAATATATATATATTTCTTAGAACCCAGAAAGCACTTAACCATAAAAGAAGAAAATTTTAAAAGTAGAGTCCATCAGAATTAGAAAGTAATGCTAATCAAAATGTTATGAAATGAAAGGCAGGGCATAGACTGGGGGAAAATATTTATAATACATGTATCAAATGAAGGGCTTCTGTCCAGAATACGTAAAGAATACATAAAGAACTTGGGACACCTGGTTGGCTCAGATGGTTAAGCGTCTGCCTTAGGCTCAGGTCATGATCTCCAGGTCCTGGGATCGAGCCCCGAGTCGGGTTCCCTGCTCAGTGGGAAGTCTACTTGTCCTCTCTCTCTGCCCCTGCTCATACTCTCTCTCACTCTCTCTCTCTGCCCCTGCTCATGCTCTCTCTCACTCTCTCTCTCTCTCAAATAAATAAAATCTTTAAAAAAATAAAATGTTAAAAAAAAAAAGCATATATAAAGAACTTTAAAAACTAAAAGCAAAGTACTTGGAGACAGATACTTTACAAAGTATATGAATGGCCAATAAGCATGTGAAAACTTGCCCACCATTATTAGTCATCAGAGAAATGCAAATTGGAACCACAATAAGACACTGCTCCAAAGCTACTAGAATTACTAAAATTTAAGAGCTAACAAAACCAAATGTGGAGATTAGAGCAAGTAGATCTCTTAATGTGTTGCTGGTGGGATTATAAAATGGTAATTTGGAAAACCATTTGGCAATTTAAGTCAAATATACACTAATTGTGTGGTTTAGCAGTTCCAGGCCTAGGTATTTACCCAAAAGAGCTGAAAACCTAGGTCCGCAGAAAGACTTAATGCTTATAGCAGCTTTGTTTATGACAGCCAAAACCTGGAAATAGTCTAGATGTCTAGCAGGAGAATAGTAAACACCAGCATACTCCTGTAATGGAATACTACTCAGCAGTATAAAGGGAAGAATGACCAATGCATGCAGCAATATGGATGAATCTCAAAAGCGTATGTTGATTCTAGCCAGGTCAGTTAGGCCAGAAAATGAAATAAAAGGCATCTAGATTGGAAGGGAAAAAGTAAAACTCTGTGTCTGCAGATAACATGATCAGGTATATAGAAAATCCTAAGGAATCCACTAAAATACTGTTAGAACTAATAAATGGGTTCACAGTTGCAGGATGCAAGATTAAAATTTCAAAAGCCTATTCTGTTTTTATACATTTGCAAAGAACTATCTGAAAGTGAAAGTAAGAAAATTCCATTTTCAATAACATCAAAACGGGTACGATACTTAGGAATAAATTTAGCAAAATAAGTGTAAAACATACTCTGAATACTATAAAACATTGTTTAAAGAAATTAAAGATGATCTAAATAAATGGAAGGATATCCAGTGTTCATGGATTGGAAGATCACATTTGATGGAGAGAGTCCTTATTAAAATAGTTTAATTTCAGAGAGTTTTAAGTACCATGAAGAGAATAAAGCAGTAATCAGGAAGAAGGATTTAGGTTACATAGTCAGGAAATGCCATTCTGAGGAAGTCTCATCAGTGTCTCCCTTTCCTTTTTATATTTGTTTCTTTGAATTAGGATCAAATCCAGTCCACACGTTGAGACCGCTTGATAGGTCTCCTGAGTGTCTCTCTCTATAGATAACCCTTCCGTGTCTCTCTTCCTCTTGTTGTTTCTCATAATGCAGTTGTTCTGTAGAATTTCCTATGGTTTGATTGCTGACTGCATTCCTGTGTTACAGCTCCTAGGTTAACTTGGTCCCCTGTCCTTTGTTAACTTCCTGTGAAGTGGGGGTTGGGTCTGGAGGCTTGAGGAGATTCAGATTTGATTTTTTTTTTTTTTTTGGCAACATTATGAGCTTGGATCTTGAACACTACCTCCCTATTTAATGATATTAAGGAGTTATTATTAATTTTTTATGCATGATAATGGTAAGGTTATGGTTTATGTTTTAGAGATTATACTAGAAAAATCAATGGTTCAAATGATAAGATGTCTAGGATTTGCTTCATGCTAATAAAAGATGAGGGGAAGTAGATGGGATATAGATAAAACTCAGCTGGCCATGAATTCATTGAAACTGGGTGATGGGCATGGGGTAGGAGCATTATATTCTTCTGTCTACTTTTTGTACACTTCTGAGATTTCCCATAATTTAAAATTTTAAAACTATTATAATGTATTGCAATTACAATGAACGGGACTCTCTCTAACCTATTTATGAGGATGCAGTAGCTATCAATTCGCATTCACTTCTGTGATCCCCTTCTATTCATTTAGATAGTCATTATTTTTCAAATCCTATTTTTACAATTTAGGTTAAACCATCTGAAATTGCCATTTTTTGGTAGGGTGAAAATATCCACATATTGGCAGTTGACTTTGTTCCAGTCTGATGCATGGAAGTCAGCTACAACGTCTGATATTTTCTACATGCTGCATGGATTCGTTGCCATGTCTTCCTTCCTTTCAAAGTCTGTCTACTGGTTATCAAAGCTTTTATGATTGGATTTGGATTCCAGGTTTTAAAAAGCTCTTACTTATCATTAAATGGTTGTAGTAAACTTACTGTTGTTTTAAAGAAATTTAGGGGGAAAAAAGAGGGAGTTAGAGACAAGTATTAAGTGCCTTAGGTACAGTAAAAATTAGCGTGTTGTGTTCAAGTACAAAAGACCAGGCTAACTGGACCATGTTGGGGGGAGAGGGGAGGAGAGATGATAAAAGATGATGTCAGAGGTTGGCCAGGGGCCAGATCGTGTAGGGTCTTGTAGAATTTTTAAATATGAGTTTAATGATCTGACTGCCATTCATAGATGTTATTCTAGCTGCTGTGTGAACATAGATTGTAGTGGAAGCAGGATGTCAGTTAAGTTGTGTAGTCCAGGCGAGAAGTCGAGGTTAGGTGACTCAGACCAGGGTGGTGGCTGTGCTCCTGAGGGGATGCCCGGAGGGGTTTCAGAGGTGGCCCCTGGAGGTGTGACTTAAGTATGAAGTGTTTAGAAAAATGCCTGGCTCTAGCTAGAAAGTGCTCGGTCATTGGTCTGTTACTATCACTGTTAAAATACTAAACAGCAGCTGTTTTCTGAGCCTGTGCTTTTATTTCAGGCGCTATACTAAGGTGCATCACACTTCTCAGCACATTTAATTGACTCGCTGTTTTGAGCTGGGTAGTTCATTATTCCCATTTTACGGGGGATGGACTTCTGCACCTCTGTGTCCGTCTTTGAAAGACACTTCTATAAGGTTCCTGTGCACAGTGACCCATTTCTCTCTCTCTCCTTTTCTTTCTTTCTTTCTGAAGTAGGCTCCATACCCAGTGTGGAGCGCAGTGCGGGGCTTGAACTCATGACCCTGAGATCTAGACCTGATGAGCTGAGGTCAAGAGTCCGCAGACGCTTAACCGACTGAGCCACCCAGGCGCCCCCACAGTGACCCATTTCTAAAAGCCTATCTTATTCTACATCATCAGCCAAGAAGACATCACGCGTAACTAATATTAATGGTCCCTCAAGTCTACACTGGTCTTCCTTAGAGAACCAGTTTCCAAACAGAAATAAAGTGTGTGGTGCCTGAGACAGCTTTGAGTCAGCACGCGCCCTAAGTTAGTAGCATCCTCTGAGCATAAGATTTGCAGACTTGGACAAAATTCAGCTATGGTCATCATTTCAACAATGGAGCTAATTTAAGCTTATTTCTGCAGTATGGGAAAGTCATTATGAAATAAAAGTGCACAAATTGGGAGAAAAGACAGTGTAAATCGCTTTTCATCAGTTGCTGATGAGTTCAGCCAAATCCTGGAGGAATCAAAATAAGTCGTGTTCATAATCGCCTAGAAATGTTTTTAAACTTTCTCATTTGGGGGAACTCTTGAGGGGCTGGCTTTCCTGCCCCTGGCATTGTGTCAAGCAGAGACTGGAGGCAGCAGGGCAGATAAACATTCAAAGTTCCCTCCTCCCATAAATCATGTTTTCAGAGAACTGTGAACATGGAATAATAGCTTGAGAACTTCTGATTTGTAGGAAGTCCCTGTCCAGAGTCCAGCTTCTTTTGTGGGTGTTAGAGCATCCGTCCCAGAACTAATCAGAGTCCTCTTGCTTTTTCCCTTTGTCCCAGCGGTGAGCGCCTTCTTTCCGCGGATGTGGCCTGCCGTTTGACGATGACCTCTCATCCTATCTCGCTTCCTGCCCCTTTTGTTTTCCAGCAGCCCTCTTGCAGTGGGAACATGTTTGGGTCTGGAAACACTGGAAGAGGGGGAGGTTTCTTCAGTGGCCTTGGAGGGAAACCCAGCCAGGATGCAGCCAACAAAAACCCATTCAGCTCGGCCAGCGGGGGCTTTGGATCTGCAGCCACCCCAAGTAAGTTGAAACCGTTTTCCCAGTCCCTTGGCCCCATAATGCCATTGTCATCCCTGTGGTGCGAGCAGAGCTTTGGTGACAAGTGTAGAAAGGAAAGAGGGGGTCTAGAAGGCCTGTTTAATATATGGATCAAAGCAGTGTGATCTGTTTTGATTTTGATTTTTGGTTTTTTAATGAGATGTCCTATATAATCATGAAAAGACATCAGAGCTGCAGGGTGAATGTCTGTGCACTGAGCTCCTCCCCTCTTCTCTCCCAAGGCCCACATCGCTCTGTTTCTTAGGGTTGAAATGACTTGAAGTGAATGCAAGCGGACAGGCATAAATGAGAGCAGCAGAGCAAGCTGGGTGTGCTTGGAGAAGGAGCATCTGGATGTTCGTTGTGTAGTACTCTCTCTGAATTTGCTTTAAAATTCAGCTGCCACAGAGAAATGTTACCCAAAACTCAGAGCCTTCGTTATTTCTCATCTCTCACATTTCAAATGAAGCTGTATCGTTCTGCTGGCACTTTTTTTCCAGCTAATTTTTCAAATTCTTTGTTGATCTGTCTATTCGTGGTTAGAAATGAAAGAAATTTGGGTTGTTGTTGTTGTTTTTTTTTTAATCTGAAAAAAATAAAAAATCCTGCTGCAGATGGAGGCTGAGATGGGAAGTTGGGGGCCTGTCATCTTCATCTCTGCTTCTCTCGTTTACCACGCCGCACACGGAGCGTCTCTCGTCTGCTGTGCTAACACAAGATCCTCGAGAATCGGGAGCTAATGTTCTCAGACAGGACTGATACTCCCTTCACGGTTAAGGCTCATGCAGTTCTAAGCAGAGTTCTCTGTCCTGAGTCTCCAGAGTCACTGATCAGTTGTTTTGATGTCACTGTCCACCTAAGTAACACAGAAGGAAAGATTAGAGTCAAGAGACACAGACCTCTTCACTTGTGAAATTATATGAGCAGAAATTTTTGTTCTTTAGCTTTCAGTCTTCCGGGAGAAATTTAGAATCCTAGAATGAGGGACGCCTGGGTGGCTCAGTCAGTTAAGCGTCTGCCTTCAGCTCAGGTCATGATCCCCCACGTCCCTGCTGAGCAGGGAGCCTGCCTCTCCCTCTCCTGCTCTCCCTGTTTGTGCACCCTCTGTCAAATAAATAAATAAAACCTTAAAAAAAAAAAAAAAAAAACTCTAGAATGAAGGGATCCTAGAAACCGAATCTAGTACTTTTCAAAACACTTTCTACAGATGAACTTCTAAGCAGAATCCTGATGCGTAAAACAGGTAAAAATAGGTCTGCTTGGAAGTAGGGGTCAAGAACCAGAGATGCTGGGTGGTTTCCCCATCTACCCGCGCCCAGCTCTCAGCGTGGAACCGCAGAGCTCCATAGCACATACTTGGACAACAGGATCCTTGTGTGGCATTCTCTCCATTTTCCAATGAGGAAACAGACCCCGAATGGTGAGGTGATTTTAAGTGCCGGAAAGTGGCAGATCTAGGACTCTGCTAGTTCATACGTAGCCTACAGAACAGCATCTGGCGCAGAAGACGCACTTGGTAACATGCTACTTAGAAATGTGGGTTTCTCCCGTAGGTAGGTTACCATCTGTGAGACTGTGTTACTAACCAGTTTTGTTGAAACTTAAGTATGTCATACCCTTGTAAAATCCCCTTTCCTCCTGGCTGATTCATCTCCTAGGCCCTGGCTCTTACCTGTCAACGAATTGCCTTCTCTTGGTGGGGGACTGACGATGGCTTGCCCTGGCTCGTGAGAGCCAGCTGTGCACACCTCTCCAATTCTGCATCCGGTGACCTCGTGTTGGGCAGCCTGAACTCTGCCATTAGGCGAGTGTGTACCCCATAGGAATTGGACAACAGGGCAAGTCAGCGCTGCCCTCCTCCACCTCCAGTCCGTTGTTCACTGGCACAGCGTTTTTCTAATTCTTTAATTCCGGTTTAAAATTAAACCAGGTATTTTTATAGGATTATTCCAGATTCTTGATACCAGACACCTGCTGGTCTTCATTTTCCTAAACACTGGTTTTTATAAATCATCAGTTTACTTTTATGGTAAGAGAAGTTTCAGGTACAGAAAAGACTTAAACATTCTTTTGTTTTGAAAACTGAAGGTCTGATTCGATAGTGAAAGGGACAGGAGCCTCTGTAGCCCAGAGGACCAGGTGCAGGAGAAGGGGAAGAACGGTGGAGGAGAAGGAGCTAGAGGTCATCTGGGGACAGGCATTGTCCTCACCAGAACTAAGGATGCTTTCTGCGAACCACCGGGGACAGCCTCTTTCTCTTTGGGTGAATCTGCAGTATTTGACACTTTGAGCACAACGTCTTTCCTGGGCTGTATAGACCGACTCTCCTGGTTTCTCTTCCTGCCTTTCAAACGGTTCCTTCTCTCTGGCCTTGCAGGCATGTCCCCATTGTCATCTGGATTATCACAGTAGTCTCCAGACTCCCCTCCCTGCTTCCAGCCTCCTCTCCTGGCATGTGGACATTCACACCAAGCTGAGTGTTTTTAACTCTGCTTTGCTTTTGCCTCTCCCTACGCAAAACCCCCGGCAGCTTCCCACCGACGTGAAGCCAGCTCCTCTGCTTGGAAGTCTGGGCCCTCCGTGAGCTGCCCCGCACACTTTTCTATTCCCCCAGCATGCTCCCTCTGCATTGGCCAGTTTGTCTGCTGGCCGTCCTTCGTACACGCGCCGCTCCTCTCTCCCCGCTTCAGTGCCAGGGCTCCCCTGCTCCCTCCACTCCACCCGCCAAACCCACCCTTCCTTTAAGGGTGAATGTAAGTCTACGCCAGCGTCTGGAATCCGGCAGCCCTTGTGTTCCATTCCTTCATGTGACATCAGGTGGAAGGGAACGGATCTTTATGGGCCACCTACTGTGCACCAGATGCTCCATTTAGGTGGGCTGGCCGCTTCTTACAACAGGACTTTTAGATGTGGCTGCCCCCATTTTACCAATAAGGAAATAGGCTCGGAGAAGGGACGTGGACTTACAGAGGTAGCAGCCGTAAAGTGGAGGAGCCAGGGTTTAATCCGAGTATGTTTCCAGAACTCTGATCCACCCCCTTGCCTCCTGAGATCTTCCTAGCCTTGCGACGGAGCACAGTTCCTCCCAGGTGTGTCTTGTCTGACAGCCCTCGGGCTCGTTCTCGGTGGCATCGAACATGCTCCCCTGCAGATAGAGGTCTGAGCACAGACTGAGCAGCCAGCAGTTTTCCCTTGTGACATGTGGGCTCCAGGCTGCCTGGTCCTGAAGCTGCCCTCTTCAGCCCTGAGAAGTCATTAGACCTCTGCCCTGATGGAGAAAGACCAGCCAGGAACACTGTTGCTGGGAGTTGGCATGTTCTTTATCCAGAAGCTCCCACCTCCTAAAGGTTTCTGCGCTCTCTGCCCCCAGGGACTACCTGAGATACACGGTTAACCCCTGGGGTCGCTTAAAATTCAGCACCACCCTACACTGTTACCTGTAAGGACTTACTGCCTCCTCGAGTCTTGTCCTAAGGACACTGGTTAGAACCATCCTCAGCACATCCTTTCTGTTCAGAGACCCGAAAGACATACTTGCATGAGGATAAAGAAGCCATTTGAAGACAATCTTGTGGGCCCCCAAGGCTCCCTCTACAACTGTTCTTTAAGAAAATGTCTTGGAAAGCATCCTGGGCCAGAGCTTCTTGAGGAACCCCCTTCTCAGTGCGTGTTAAATTCTAATAGGTGACTTTAGACCCGCAGAATGACATGAGACCTAGTCTCTGTGATAGTGTTTATATCAAATTTATATCAGGTATAATTTAATTGAAGTACGGTTGGACCCTGATGTCAGGTTAGGCAAGTGTTTTTTGCCAAATAAAAGACCCAGGAGGACCCATGTCGTGCCAGCAGGGGGAAGCCCAGAGCAGACGCCGGTTGTCCCTGGACTCGCCACCCCCGAGAGTAGAAGTGACCAGCCAGCTCTGTGAAGACAGGCTTTCTTCCAGCTGCCCTACCCACAAGCGAAGAGGCATCTCCTACGACGGCATAGTGTTCCAACAACCAAGATAACCCTCGTACTTGCCGTATTTTAAGAGCCAGGGACTGTGTTATTTTGGAGCTACTGGGAGAGAACCGAGAAGCACGTTGTTGACCGTGGAAACAGAGAAGCAGACCTCGTTTAATGCCACTTTGCTTCAGAGCCGCTTGAATAAATCCTAAAACATTTCAACATGCAGAGCTCCTCTTGAGACTGCGAACGAAAACTGTTACAACTTGACTGGTTTAACTCTCAGGATCTTTGCAAAATGAAAAGGATTACGTTTTCTGCCACTGATCTGCTCTGTGTCTTATATTGAACACAAGTGGGATGTAGTAGGAGGAAGAGTTAAAGAAACAGAGAGGGGAAGTTCTATTTCCTGAGGATCCGCCATCGGCCCAACTAGGCACTCTGCACATGTCAGCTCATCTGATCCTCACAGCAGCCGTGTGGATCCCCCCCTTGCTATCCTCATTTTGTCGCAGAAGAAACTGGGACTTGGGAAGGTGAAGTCCTTGCCTCTAGCTACTAGGTGTCCTGAGCCAGGACTGACTACAGAACACTCGTGCATTCCACTGTAACGCTCATGAGCATCTTCAGACAGAGGCGTCTCAAGGAGATGAAGGGGTAAAAAATGCCTGGAAACGTCTGTGTTCTCTGACTTCAGGCATTCCAGTCCCGGCATCATCCCGGTAAAATCATTTCACCTCTGTATCTCAGATTTCCCCCAAGAGGAGAGCTAGCCCCAGATCTCACACTTGAATTGATTTGCTATTTGGAATTTTTGCCGCGTTGGTACTAACAAAGTCAGAAAGTTGCAGCCCTCTGTTCCTGAGGTACCGAGTGAAGGAATGGCTGAGGAACCCATTTTTCATCTCCAGCGTCGAATGAATGTACTGTCCCTGAAAGAAGAAAACGTGGACTCCAAGCTGGCACACTGACGGAAAGCTCAGGCTGTTCGAGAGGACATTTTGGGGGCACCTGGGTGGCTCAGTCGGCTGAGCAGCTGCCTTCAGCTCAGGTCATGATCCCAGGGTCCTGGGATCGAGTCCCACATCGGGCTCCTTCCTCAGCGGGGAGCCTGCTTCTCCCTCTCTCACTCTGCCTGCCGCTCTGCCTACTTGTATTCTCTCTTTCTCTGTCAAATAAATAAATAAAATCTGTAAAAAAAAAAAAAAAAAAAAAAGACATTTTGTAGGCTCTCCCTACAAATCCCTCTACAAAAGGGAGATGGATAATCCTGTGGTACCGCGTATAGGGGTGATGAAAAGGAGCTTGTGAACCCCTCCCGCCATCAGTGTCTGGTGCACTCCTAGCCGGCCTCTCAAACTGCTAGCAGGAGTTTCACAGAGCAGGTGACCATGTGGTGGCCTAGGGCTCTGTGTATTGGTGCCTAGAAATTCAAGGTGGTCATGTCCCTGAGATAAGGCTCTTCACTTCCTGGATCGTAGACCAAGAGCATTGCGACTGGAAGTATTGACAGTCACATCTCCCACGGGGGTGGGGCTGGTAGCGGAGCGAGATGGGGGGCCTTGGGATTGGCGGGTTAGTGGAGGACCACCTCTTCAAGCAACTGGACTTCGAGAGTGACTTGCTCCCCTCCATTCTCTCCATCACCTTCTCGGCGAGCACCTGATCGGCATGGGGGAAGACCCGCCCATGCAGATGCTTGCTCTTCTCACTTGGTGATGTGGCACACACACTCTCCATTACCCACCGGGAGCATCCAGTCAGCGCCCAGCTTATGCCTGTGCCTTTGGGCCTAGACCCCGTTTCGGGACAGCTTCTCCCTGCCTTCTTTGGGTGCAAACTTACTTTAATAAAACCCATCCAAACACGGTGGGGAAGTGTGAGTTGTCCCTCCCCTCTCCCCCAAAAAAGGGTGAAAGAAAAATTCCTGCTAATGTGCTGTTTGTGTTCCCAAGTGCTTCTGTGTATATGGTTCTGGCTACTTATGTGTGTTACCGGTCAGATTTGCATTTCTTATAACCGACAAAACACTTCTTACCCGTCTTGGTTTTTAGGAGTTAGTTGCCTTTATTCCTTTCAGTCGTGGTATGGCTTCAGTGTGTAGAGGGAGTGACCCACCTAGATAAGCATCTGAAAGGTCAAGGGCTTCACTGAACCGCTTAGGAAAAGGAAATCAGACTGGAAGTCTTGCTGCCTCTTAACGTTATTCAGAACATCTCTGGCTCCCCTCAGATCAGAGTTAGGAGCATCATGGTTTTTCTTGTTTCACTGCCATTCCCTGAGCAGATCGGGCAACAGCAGACCATGTCCAACCTGACTGTAAAAGCAGGAAGCTGGAAGCCATTAAGCTTGCTTCGGATTTGCTCTGACTTTATTTTCTCTAGCTCGACAAAACGTGAAGTTGGTTTTCGTGTGAGGAGATGAATGAAACCGAGCCCTCTTCTTCAGAAGAAAACCATCTCGCGGGAAGCTGGTGGATAGACGTGATACGTGCGGGAGCACAGACACGTTTCTGCAAAGGAGCCTCTTCACTGGGCCCTGCTGCAGCTCCCCTGTATGGTGTGCCCGTAGAACCTGGAGCCTGGGCTCCCAGCGATTAAGAACTTGTCATCAACATGCAGGCAAATCACAGGAGGTGTTCACCATAGCTCGGCTCCCTTGAATTCCAGACTTGTCACTTGCTTCTCCTCAAACACCTAGTTGCAGTTTCTTTTCTGTTCAAAGTAGATAAGGACATTTTTCTACCTCTGATCTCCCTCAACATGTTCCCCCTTTCTTTAGATACCTCTAATCTATTCGGAAACAGTGGGGCCAAGACATTTGGTGGATTTGCCAGCTCATCGTTTGGAGAGCAGAAACCTGCTGGCACTTTCAGCTCTGGAGGAGGAAGTGTGGCATCCCAAGGCTTCGGGTTTTCTACTCCAAATAAAACAGGTACTCTGATACTTATTAGCTGTGGTTTATTTTTAGATGGATATTACATATGTGTAGATACCTGGAAGGAGATGTCTCTAGGGCGGCTCTCAAGAGAGTAGCATTGGAGTATAGATGAAGTGACTTTTTCTCCCCAATTCATTTTTATATTTACTGAGCATCTACTGTATTCCTAGCACTGTTCTAGGTCTCCAAGACATGTTAAAAGCAAGAATGTAAATACTCAGCAAGTGCAGAGCATCCAAAATAAGGGAACATACAAGACAGTGATAACTAAAATATAAACAAGAAAACACCAGAGTCAGAGAAGAGCTTGAGTTCCATTCGTGGTCATGGGCAAGACAGGTGGTCTGCTTAGTTTTTATGTCTTTTTGATTTGTCCTCTTTCTCAAGTCACTTTTTTTTTTTTTTTAACTTTTGAGCATAACATACATAAATATATTACATATACATGTTCCCATACAACATCCACTTACTGTAAGTACACAGCACAGTTACTTCTCGTGAGGAGAACACGCCGGTGGGATCAAGAGTAAAGAGTACCACCAGCACTACTTCTTATCCCAGCATTACTTGTAAAGTATACATTTGGGAACAGTGTGACTTCTCTGTGATCATATACGACGTTTATAATTTAAGAATTTAAGGAACAATACATGTTTCGATACACAAACATATTTCAGTTCTGTCAACTGCCTCTCTGTCCTCTTTCTGTCTCAGATCTACAGAGGGTCTGCATTCCTGCCCCTGTTGCATGGAAAATTGTGTGAAAAAACTTTTTTCCCCCAAAAAAAGATCAATGGCAGAGTTTGAGAGGATGTTTGCAGAGAAAGGAGTTCTTTAAAGCAGACTCCCCAAGGGGGAGCAGTCAGGATGCTAGTCCCTCGGGTGTTTGGGAGCCTTTGAAATTATGTGAATTCCAGAGGAAAGACCCTACCGAGGACCAGATGCGTAGGTGGCTCTGACTTAGGACCGCCCCACATTCCATGCCTGGAATCCCACCTTCTAGAACCTAAATTGCTGTGGTTTCCATGCACTGTGTTCCATTACTCAGACCTGTGGCTCGGGTGGCTTAGTCTTTGGCTTCCAGTTTTTGATTCTTCCTAGAATTTAAAATGCACTAGACATGAGCATTGCAGCTTTATTTTGCCCCCAGCCTTCCTCACAGTGAAGGATTTAAAAATGAAAAGGTTACAAAGCTCTGGGGCCTAGTTAACAAAGCAAACATTTGACTAAGAAATTTTAATTCATTAATCATCGAGGCTTAATTTATTTTTTTTTTTTAAGGAACTGGATAATGGTTTGTTAGTTTTGGTTTTTGGTTTTTGGTGGTTTTTTTTTTTGATTCATGTGGTTTTTTAATATGTTGTTCTTTATCCTGGAATCAGGTCCCAATTGACTTTGAGAATCTTATGCTTTTATTTTTTTAGTCTTAGAGAAAATGTATCCTCCTACCTTTCAGAATACTTTTCCTGTTTGATTGTTTGCCCCATGAAATCCCTCAGGGTGAAGACCGAGAAAGCTACAAGGGATGAATGAACCGGTAGCCACAAGGGTGACAGTGAGGGTGGAGGCAGCCCGTGTCCTGTGCTTCCGGCACTTTGGCTCTCGCTGCAGGATTCATGGCAGTTCTCCTGCTGTAGAAGGAGGTGCCACAGAGTCCTGAGCATAAGGAAAGGGTGCTTTAAATAAAGGAGTCATCCTTCCTGCCCAGGCAGTGCAAATGCCTAAGACATCACGATTGGCATTTTGCTTAAATACTGATGTTAGATGGACCATTTTTGATGGGTTTTGGAAAGTTCCAGAAGTGTCCATCCTCCCTCAGTACAGTTGCTTTAGGAAATAGTAGTGCTGGAGATTACTTGTGCGGGGACAGAGGTGGGCTCAGACCACTGTGCCCAGCCCATCGGGCTCACCCCAGTTGTGGTGGAGGGAGGCAGGCTGACCCATGCAGTTAGGGAGTAGGTGCTCTCTTGAGTCACTCAGCCCAGCGCTACCACGATCAGCTGGCTGAACTTGGGCAGATACATTCTCGGAGCCCGTTCCCTCACCTGCAAGGTAGGCTTCCCGGGTGGACGGCGGGGGTTAAGGCAGAGTGTTGTGCAAGCAGCTGGTGCCGTGCCTGGCACGCAGGGGGCCCTCAGTAAGTCAGGTATTTTATTATCATTGATAGCGAATTTCTCTTTCTTCTGGAGAAGAAAATCATGAAAATGTAGCATCTAATAAAATCAAATCCTTCCTAGCGTCAGGAGTGGGTTGCCGGTCTCCAAAAAATAATACCAGAGTGACCATTTTCCTCCTGTTTCACTTAGCTATGACCTGGGTTTGTTGTTCGGGGACATATTGTATGTGTGTGTGTATGTTGTGTATGTCAGTGTAGTGTGTATGTGGTGTGTGTGTGTATATGTGGGGTGTGTATGTGAGGGTAGATGTGTATGCGTTGTGTGGGTGTGGTGTGTGTCCATGTGGGGGCGAGGGGTGGCACATGTGTGTGTGCGCATGTTTAATCTCCTCTCCCCTGTCCAGTTTACTTTCTTTCTGTATCACTGTGACTTCTCATTTTTCACTCACCCTCCATCAAGAAGTCGGAGTAATATTGTGCACAAGGCACCAGGTCCAGCTGCGTGTGTCTAGGAAGAAAGTGTAACTAGATCTGTGATCGGTTGTAAATAATTCAGCTGCAAGGGTTTTTTAGCACTTTTTTTTTTTTTCCAGTCTCTTATATTTGTAACCCGGCAGTCTCCATTATCATGGCTTGGAATTTCACTCAAGGTTTGAAAATCTAGAATGTTAACCCAAACATGAGCCTTAGCAAAAATTATCTTCACTAGCAATGATAAGCACGTGACTGAATCACAAGATAACAAATAACGAAAGAATTCAGCTAACAGCTTTTCCTACCCAGAGTCTGATCTTTCCTGATTCAGGTAGCAGAAGCTTGTGGTGTGATTATGCTTATGTAAGAAGGCCTGATTCGTGCCTCTGACAGCGGGACTCACTTTCCGCAAGGGGCAAGAATAGCGTCCCTGGCGCCTCTTTCCTTGTGCCGAAGCCACTGTCGTTCCCTTTAGCACGTGGCTCCTTAAGCCAGTACTCATTTTAAGAAATACTCCTTTCTAGAGCACATTTCTTACACCAGTTTAGTCCATTCTGTTCAATGGACACTCACTGAGGGTCCCAGCTCATAGCCTAAAATGATGTACACAGGATCTTGGGGTTTGAGAACCCCCTCAGGAGCACGAGGGATAGAGAAGGATGGCCAGCCTTCCCGCCCGGTGGGCATCTCTGCCAATCTGAGGAGGCCGCCTCGGCGCACCTGACCGTCAGCACGATGGCCTGTGCGTGTGCCTGCCCCCCGCCCCCCCGCCCCTGTTCACGTGAGCAGCAGGGGACGTCAAGGGCTCTGGTGGCTTTCCTCAGGACTGATGGATTGTTTTATCACATTTATCCAGCAGCCTTCCTCCAGAGAGCAAATTTGGTGTGCTTTTTTATTGAGGAGTAGCTCCTGACTGCAGAGAGAAAGCATTTTGTAAGAAATTCTGTGCAGAGAGACTGTGGAGAGAGACGTGAGAGCCATAAGGCTTTAAATAAATAAAAAGCCCCTGGCTGAGCACCAGTGCCGTGTGCCTCTCCATCTCTTCTGTAACCCAGTTCATAGGTTCTCCCTGAGAGGACACTTTGAGCCTCTGGCTTTATAATGTGTGTTTTCACGCAGCTGGAAGCCTAGCCTGTGTCGTGATAGTAGCAACATCTGTCATCTTTGACACCTGGCCGGGATCGGCGTTTCCGAGAATGCTTTTTCAGCGAGGAGCCTCAGAACAGCGCAGTGGGGCTGGGAAGGGGTCAGAAATGCGCCAGGCTGGTTCTTGGTTCTTGGTGACAATCTGATGCCACGAGACTGGGAGCAGACACTTCCAGCTTGTGCATGGGAGGGCTCGAGGGTCTCACATACAAACACGGGGTCTGCTGGGTTCTTAGGGCTTCAAGGAGCTCCCCTGGTGGACACGACCCCTCTGCTAGCAGTGGAGGGGGTGGTTCGGTATTTAGAACGGCTTTCGCCCCCAGTCACAGTTTTTTGAATTTGAATTTCTAACCTATTTTCCCCGTTTTCCTTCCTCTTTTGATTTGGTTTCTCACTGCTCATTGTCTTCTCTTCCTGTCTCCTTTCTTTTTCCCTGTTTGTTTGTTTGCCTCTGTTTTGCTCAGGTGGCTTCGGTGCTGCTCCAGTGTTTGGCAGCCCTCCTACTTTTGGGGGATCCCCTGGGTTTGGAGGGGTGCCAGCATTCGGTTCAGCCCCAGCCTTTACAAGCCCTCTGGGCTCGACGGGAGGCAAAGTGTTCGGAGAGGGTACTGCGGCTGCCAGCGCGGGAGGATTCGGGTAAGCCCCCCGGGGAGGGACCTGGGGACGGCCGAAAGCACGGGGCCCGGTCCTCCTGGCTTGGAAAGACCGTTCTTGCGTTTTCCCTAGTCTTGACTGAGCGGAGCCCCCCTCCCTCAAAACCCACGAACAAGTCAGTCCACGATGCCTCTTCCTCCCTGGGGAAGGCCCCACTTCTTCCAGGCCAGACTCTGTCGAGCGTGCGGGTGGACACCGGCTGTGTTGCCATCGCCCGCAAGCATAGAGTACTGGTTGGCGGGCCCCTGTTCTCCTGGTGGAACTAAAGGACGATTCAAGGGAAGTCCTGTCCTGGCTACTTTAGAGCCGGGCCTGCCCCTTGTGTGGTGACTTCGGTCAGGGGATTCAAGATGAAGAGTTTCCGCCACATTCTTTCCTCTTGGGACTGTTGTGTCGTCGACCCATTGTCCTTGAGCAAACCACTCCTCGTGTCCCTCGTTCCACTCGTGACCCCCAGAGTGGGTATTCGGTTCACAGTCCCAGGGCCACTGGGCACTGACTGGGCCCCCTGCACATTTCAGAGTCTCCGTGACTGCTCAGCTTTCAAAGCTGCCCTGACCGCCTCGTGCACATCCTCCCTTGAAAACGCCATACTAGGGATTGGCTTTTAAGGGCCCCAGAAATTCAGTCTGGTTGCCAAAACCTCAAGGAGAAAATAAATAGCCTTCACCACACCACAAAGTCCTGATAAAATGTCTGTGGTGATGACTACAAAGTGCCTCGTTCAGAGAACATATTAGCATCTGAAGTCACCGTCTGGTGGACCTGGCCCTGGGTGCAGGACATGGGGTGCGTAAAAGCTCAAAACGCGGGGAGGGGGTGGGAACTTTGTTTGGGGGAATGATCAGGGTACTTAGGGTGAGTCTTGGCGAGGTGATAGCATCTTTATCTTGAAAGTAAACTAAAGTATGTTTTTACTCATACCCTTTCCCTCCCCATGAAAGATGCTGGTGCGGAAATGCTGGCAAATTTCCAGAAAGTGAGCGAGTTGATAGATTGCTTCCTGGATTTCATGTAGAGACTAATGGTTCTTTTAAGTTTCCCCCAGGAAACCCCAAGAATTAAAGTTAAGGAAAGCTTTTAAAGGAGAGTTGGGACCAACTTTAACTAGCATTCTTGGCAGGTTCCAATGGACACTGATGTCTCCAGTGACCAGCCAGCACAGAGTCCTGCAGAGTTGGAGGGTTTGGGTTGACTGGGAATCTTGAAGTTTATTTATCTATTTGAAACCTGCTATTTTCTTTACCAGTAGAAAAGTGTCATATTCTGCCTTGGTGGGGGGGTTCACCCACATAAATCAAATGTACAAATAGAGCAAAAGTTAGTAGTGTAATATCAGAAGCCCATCGCCTTTCCCCAGGTCCCTGATCTGCCCCTGACAGATGTCTGAGGAGCTCCCACTGTTCTTGGGAGACCCGGAGCAGGGGTAGGAATAGAGCAGGACCAGTCAGGACCGCTCCAAGAGTCTGCTTCCAGAAGACCCCTCATCTTGTTGTGAAAAGTCAGTAGATCAAGATCCAGAGAGGAGCTGAAGACCAATAACTGGGGGAAGAAGGTTGTCGATAAAAGAGAAATGCTAAAATGATGGAACGAAATCCGAGAATTACTGGAGATAGAGCAAAAAGTGTAGTGCTGCTCGATTTCCAGATGTCCTGGAATTTCCAGACAGTGGAGAAAAGCTAACACCCTGGACTGGTTGGTTTTCGTATCGAGTTCCTGTCCTCTTCCTTCCCAAAGCTGAGATTTGCTCTGGGCTCTAGCCTGCTCTTTCTGAGAGGCCACTACTTTGAACCAAGCATGTCCCCTCGATTCGTGTGTGGCGGGCAGGCCAAGGCCTCCGGGCAGCAGGTGCCTGTGTGGCCATGCCAACCACCAGCTGCTTTCTCCCTGGAACCTAGGTTTGGGAGCAGCAGCAACACCACATCCTTCGGCACCCTCGCAAGTCAGAATGCTCCGACTTTCGGATCACTGTCCCAACAGACCTCTGGTTTTGGGACCCAGAGCGGGGGATTCTCTGGCTTTGGATCGAGCGGAGGAGGTAGGTGGCCAGACATGTTTCCCTCACCGTAGTCCCTCCTGCCTTCTCCTTAGTAAACGCCTTCCGCCGCTTCTGCACCCAAAGAAATGAGTGATTTTTACCTGGCAATTCAGTTTAGTATTTTGAAGGCTGAAAGTGGGTGAAAGACAAAATGTTCTTCTTAGGCTTTAATTAGATGTGTAACGTTGTGCCATTTCTTACCAAAGACAGACACGACTGCCTTGATTTTCCTCTCAAGACAAGAACCCAAAATAAAAATTGTCTTACTAGACCTTGGTTTAAAAATCCAAGGCGGCAAATGCCAACAATAAGATGTAGAGACTTGATGAAATGTCTTTGATTTGTTGCACCCTCGCTTCTTCAGATAGTGGAATACGTATGCTCTGCTTTTTATCCCTACAACACATTTATGAGGCGCAGAAGCCAGGCATCGTTGTTGTTTTACAAATGAAGACAAAAACCCCATGGGGCCCATTTGCCCAAAGGGCCAGAGACTGAGCCACAGAGCCGGGCCTAGAACCCAAGTGTCTTGCTTCTCCCAAGAAGCAGCAAGTGGATGAAAAGAGAAAAATATGATTTCGTAATGAAGGGGGTCCGTGTAGCCCCGGGGCAGCTGAGTGGGAGGTGCCATGCCAGGGACCCACTGCCCAAAGTGGGCGCCGGGGAGGGAAGAACCCTGAAATACCAACAAGTCCCCTCACCTTCCCTGTCCCACCCAGCGGGGCTCTCCACGGGGAGTGAAGGGAGGGACACGGTGGGGCCTGGGACACACCTCCGCCTCTCGAGTGTGTGCGCGCTCACTTCACTCCGCCCTTCCCATCTTTTTCAGGATTCAGCTTTGGATCATCCAACTCGTAAGTATCCACCTCCAGTTTCCAGCCATTAAATAAGGAGGGAGGAGTGTGTGGTATGTGAAAACATTACACTACTAACTTTTGCTCTATTTGTACATTTGATCCGTTTTTCCTGTTTTATAAGCTTGTCCTGGAAGCATGGGGTTCAGCGGCAGGTTTTGGGTTTCGTGCACCTGCTGATCTCAGCGGAGTATAGCAGGAGGTGCCCAGCCTGGTCTCCTCGAGGGCCACGCGTCAGAGAGAGGAGTGTGCCTTCTGATGAACAAAGGCTGGAGGGCGGGACCCTAGAGATGCTGTTCCTTAGTTCCCTGTTAGTGTCTCAGAAGCTTCGTGCTGCCCGCAGACCTCCAGGCCCATCACCAAGCTTACATTTTGATCCTCACTCTGTGCTGCTGTGTGGAATTGCATGACATTAAAAATTCAGAGTCCCGAATTCGGCCCACAGGCAGTTGCATGAGCCCCGAAGCCCTTCCTCAGAGCCGGCGCTGATCTGCCTCTCTCCCGGCGCTTCCTTGCAGGTCTGTCCAGGGCTTTGGTGGCTGGAGAAGCTGAGTGGGTGTCGGTGTTCTTTCAGTTCCTGTGACCAACTACATTCTCAGCTCCTCTTCGCTGAGCCACACTGGAGCAGTCCTTTCCCGTGAACATTCGCACTGAAACACACACCCAGAAAGAAACAGCAGAAACCAAAACTCTATAGAGATGCTTGATCGCTTGTTTGTTTTATTTTCGATTTCGTGTTGGTTGTCGTGCCCCCCCACCCCCACCGTCGGTCCCCCACTATTAAACTCTGGTCTGTTTCCATGCTGAATGTATGTGGGTTATGTCAGGTCACAGCCTGGGAGAGAGGTTTCCTCATCGCTGTGGCTCTGAGAAACCTTCCTGGCCTTCCGTCAGCCAGCAGTGTATGTCTTCAAGGATGGTACCAGAAGTTGGCAGTGTAGGAGACGGATGCACGCAGAGGGTGGGCAGGAGCTTCTCCCATGACCCGCTCTCCTCGGGCCTAGGCCCTTGCCCAGGGAGGAGGTGGAGTGCTGGCCAGGCACCTTTTTGAGGCCGTAACTTGGTATCTCCTTTTCGTGTCCTTGCTGCTGTTGGGTATCAGGACCCTCAAGGCACCAGCCTTGTGATTGGGTGGAGGGCCAGGAACTCCCTCACGCGGGCATCAGCTGAGTTTCAGAAGAGCTCGTGGCACCTTAAATGGAGGTACAGGTGGCCGTGAGACGAGCATGGAAAAGAGGCCAGTGGGCGCTGATGACAGGGACGCTGCCCTTGGACCAGCCCCATCAGCTCTGCTTGGTTTGTCTCTGGGGGCTGTGTGTCCCACGGCTGATTTCTTCGACTCTGGAGAGGCGTGATGGAGAAGAGCGTCTTTATCTCCAGTGACCGTGACGTTGGTCACCACGCCTGGCCCGTTGCCTGTGAACCGCAGTGCAGATAACCCTGAGGCAGGCCTGGAGCCGAGCCGACACCATAGTCACGTGCTTGCTGGCATGGCGGAAGGACCCCAACTTCAGTCTTATCAAAGCACGTGAAGTGCAGTAGCTTTCAGGTCTGGGCATGTTCCACTTTTTGGGCCTGTGGTGTCCTAGGCAGTTGCCGACAGACAAGGACTGCCTCACATCCCCGTCGGGCAGGGATGCGACCGTGCATTGGCTCGGGTCGTGGCAGGGGAGGGCCAGGAAGGGTTGTTTAGAGTTTTACATATTGGAAAGTTCTATTTTAAAATGTTTTAATAAAAGTTTTCCATGTGACTGTATCTGTCCCGTGACAGCCAGTGTGGTCTCGCTGGTTCCGTGGGGGCGGGGCCCCTGCGCCACAGCCCGCGCTGCCGTCCCCCTCTGCGACACTGGCCTGGAGGTTCTGTGTGAAGTACAGGCCCTCGAGCCCCAGTCCTGCAGTCTGTGACTTGGTAGGCCTGAAATTGGACGCCCCCAGGGCGTTGGGCTCCCTGGTTCTTAGGCCCCTCAGAAGAGGAGTGTCATCGTGTGGCACTGTTGGGTTTCAGGAACCCCAAACCAGAATTAGGTCCCCATGCGGCAGGAGAAAAGAGTAGGGGTCTGTCTGTGCCTCCTGTCAGTCAGGGCATCTGCCTCTCAGAGAGCTTTGACTTGAGCTGCTTAACACGTACCCGTTTGGGTCCTTGTGGAACTAAAGAGCCTGTCTGCCCCTGCTCTCACACGAGGCCCCCTGAACTGTGGAGCAGGGGACAGTCCCCACGACATCCACACAGCCAGACGTGGGACTTGTTCCGCCTGCCCGTGCTCCGTAGTTCACACGGGCCATCTAGAGACCGCAGGCACTCAGATCCCTGGGAGAAGCTCCCGATGGAGGGCCCGGCTTTGAGGGAGGCGAGGCGATGAGAGCGGACTCTGCCTCAGCGTGTCATCCGGCCGACTGGCACCCACACTGAGCCAGTCTCCTGCCTTCCTGTTTCCCCCCTGAGGCTCTTTTTTATAAATAGAAGCTGGTTCGGCCTAAACCCTTGACCTCGAATTCTCTGCGTTAATCCTCCACAGAGGTGGCATGTGACATCTCTCCATAAGGCTGTATCAGCTGTGCCCGACCCGATAACGCCCCCGCCGCTCACTGTCAGCAGAGGAATGCCCTGCTGGTGCCCCGGCCCCTCTGCCTTCCTTTCCTGGGGTCGATTACACTGGTAGGTGGCCAGGGTCATCTCTGGAGCTTGGCTGTGTGCATCCACTGAAACCCGAGCTCCCAGGGGCGTGAGCCCTTCCTGAAGAGGGACAGGAGTGTGGGGCCCGGGTCCCCCTGAGGGGAAGGGACCACAGGGGCTGCTCAGGCCCACGAGGAGGCCTACCCGCTCCTGCAGCACAGTGAGCTGCGGCGGGCAGGTGGGCAGCCTCGCTGGCCCAATTTCTATTTCTGCTGGTGTGGCACAGGAAAGGCAGGAAGGAAAAAGGGAGGACAGTTTAATGAGCGAGGTTGTGTTTTGTTTGGCTTTTCCAGACACAAATGTCCTATGTTCGTAATTGGTGCTTCAGATGGCAACACCGATGGAGGCCAGAAAATGGGTTTCTCAGGGACAGAAGAACCCGAATAACAAAATAGGTGTGCGTGCAAGTCCCCTTGTATGTTGATGTGGCTGTGAAGTCCTCGAGACCTGAGGCAGAGGTCCCCTCGGTGTCGTCCTCCTGTTTGTGTTGAGCATCCAGCGCTTGCCCTCAGCTTTGCTCTCCGTTCTGGCAACGTCCAGAGAAGTTTCTAGGTCAGGTCTTTGGCGCTGCAGGAAGAGTATGGACTTAGTAGGCTGACCTGATCCTAACCCTCACGGGCCCTGTCACCAGAAGCAGGAGAGGACTGTGGCCTCCTGGTGTCCCGAGGGCCTTTCCCTCGCTGGTGATGGAGATGGGAAGGCCGGTCTCGCAGGGGGTCTCGTGGGGGGGGGGGGGTGTGACAGATGGCAGGGCACCCGGCACAAAGCAGGCTCTCACTAAATGTAGACTGTTCTTGCCTCACAGGACCTTGCCCTACCTCCAGGGTAAAGAGTTCTAGATTCCCGCCTCAACCTCTCCCGGTTTGGAGAGGGGCGTATCTTCCACGTGGCAGTTGAGCCCCTCATCATCAAACACAGGACTCCACTGGGTGAGGGATTGCCCCCCACGTAACGAAGCTCTAACGCAGGAGTCCTCGACTTTAATTTGGGATTCTGATCAGAGAGCTGACTTGGGCCCTTGAATGTTCTTTTTTTTTTAATTTTTTTTTAAAATTTATTCATTCAAGACAGAGAGAGAGAGAGAATATGAGCAGGGGGAGAAGCAGAGGGAGGGGGAGAAGCAGGCCCCCCGCTGAGCAGAGAGCCCGACGTGGGGCTCGATCCCAGGACCCTGGGATCATGACCTGAGCCGAAGGCAGATGTTTAACCATCTGAGCCACCCAGGCGCCCCTCCTTGAATGTTCTTAACAAGCTCCTCAGGTGGTCTGTGGGCCACATTCTGAGAAACCTTTTAACTGCAATAACCAGAAATATGTCCCCTCCAGGGGAGTGTCTGAAAGAGAATCTCACTCCCATGGACATGGTTCTTTTGCCATTAATCCAAGGTAAGGAATCTTTCTGAATTGTCCACGAGAGACACGCATTTTACATTGCAGCTGCTTGTTGGACCATCTGCTCACTATGTATCTATAGATAGAGCTATGTATTGCAGCACAGGTGGGCTGTCAGCTCCCAAACACGGCTTCTGTTCATCATGGCAGGTGGGAGAGTACCTTCCTTGACCTCACCCTGCCTCCTGGCATGACTCCTCCCTCCTCCCTCCTGCCTCCGTGTAGCCGGCTATGACAAGGTGACAGAGGAGGAGGAGGAGTGACGCCCCCGCACCCTCCTGAGCTTGGGTCTCAGTCTCTCCCTTCCCTCCGGCTTCGTCATCCCGCGGGCTCCACAACCTGTCTCCCAGAACACCCGGCCGGCACCCCCGAGCGCCTGCTGATTCGTACTCCTGTTCCTTTCAGGTATTGCCTACTGGGTGGAAAGCAGGGCAGGGGTACCTCTGGGCCGGTCTGTCCGGATCCATCTCTCCCTCCTCCTACCCTCGTTCTCCCTGGTTTGTCTACTCTTGCCTCGCTTGCGTGTGGAAACAAGACTGGGACTGTTCTGGCCCCCAGACCTCTGTGTTTGAAGTGATTCCTGGGGGAAGTTTGTATTCAGCCAAAACGGAAAGGGCTCTGTGGCCAGCTAAGTTGGGGAGGAGAATGGACAGAACAAAATTTAACAGATTTTCATATTGAAGGCCTCTGTTGAGCCTTTAATATGCAAATTTGCTTCGTAAATCAGGAAGATGAACTAGTCTGCCATCTCCCAAATCTTTGTGACCAGGGAACTTTCTGGAGCCAGATTCCTCAGAGCTCGTGCTGGGAGCTGCTTCATGATTGGTGTCACCGGGCAGAAGCATAGCTTACTTCCTGTGGGTTTTCTAACACACATTCCTCTCTTGTATTCAGTGATAGTAGTGATGATTCACTGGAGATTTACTATGTGCCAGGTACTGTCTGTCCTAAGCACTTCACGGACATTTTCACGTTTAACCTAGAAGCTAGATATTGTGACCCACATCTTCCAGATGAGAGCATGAAGCCAGGAGAGTAAGCCATTTGCTGAGTCTTAAACCAGGTGTTGATAGAGCCTCAAGGAACCCGGGCAGTGCCCCCTGCCCAGCCTGGCACCATACGCCCCTGCCCTCTGCTAGCCCCGGGCCATCCACCGTGGGCTCTCATGATTTTTCTCCCCCAATATAGTCATTATTTCAGAAGAGATACCTGCCTGCTTGTGCCAGGGACACTAACGTGCACCTGTCCAGCCTACCCCACGCATGTGAGCCGACCTTGGACACAGACCACAGCAAACGTGCTACCTATCGTGTGGTTACTTGCCCCCGTATTCTGCTGGCTCCAACCTGGTACGTGGCCATCATGTAAACAGCACACCCAGGAGGGAGGTGGGGCGGAGGCTGAATCCGTTGAGCTTACGCTGGTGCACACCAGAGGCAGATGGGGGCTTACTAGCCGCTCTCTGATGGAGGTGATCCGACCCTGGAGGAAGCAGCTGGCTTCATGCCCTTGAGCGGTCTCATCCCCTCCTTCCTGTGCCGTCTCTTCCGGGGTCTGGCTTTGAGGCTTTCCAGAGTCCCACAGGAGGTCAGGCCGCAGACCCACTGAGGCAGCAGTTACTCCATTGTTCAGCCCCTCTCTGCTTATAAATAGAATCCTGTCCGTTCCACAGCCCTGGCCAGAGATTCTCCACATTGTTTTCGACCCTAGATCGGCAGCTGCAGTGAAAGAGTCTGTGGGAGGGGGACACAGGCAGGAGCCCACGTGGTAGCGAGCCAGGCTCCGTCCCATCACGGTGTCCCCCCAGCATCGCACCTGCCTGACCTCACCCTGCTGGCCCAGCTGGTCTCCGGCTAGGAGGACACAGAAGAGGTTGGCTGCCTGCCCTTCCCGAGGTCGGTGCCCACGCTTCCGGCTGCAGTCCTGACCCTAGCCTGCAGGTCCCACGTCTGGTCCCTCCTACCTCGCCCGCCCCCTCGTCACGCCTCTCTGCCCTCCCGATTCTCAAGGCCCCTCTGCACTCTCTCCGTTCTTCAGATGGCCCGCTGTGCTTCCCTCCGCAGGAGCTTTCGTACTCGGTGTCCGCAGCCGTGCGTCCTCCTGCCCTGCCCACTCGCCCACTGCCCCCCAGCGCCTGCGTGCTCGGGTACGGCAGCTCCCCTCTCGTGGAGGCATGCGTCACAATTACTATTATTTGTGTACTTGGTTGTTCTATTTGTTTAGCCTGTCCTCTGCCTCCCGCCCTCCAAAAAGGCAGTTCCTGGAGGGCAGGGGCCGCGTCCGCCTTGTCTGCCCGCGCCAAGAGGCGCGAGTCAGTGCCACCTGGACCAGCTTCCCAGACAGAAGCCGGCGCTCGCTCGGCAGCCAGATCCCAGCAGGAGATGACGAGGGTTGGGGGCCGGTCAAGAGCCCACCACACCAGGGGCCTGGGGGCTGGCTCTAGGAAAAGGAGCCCCTGGGTCCCCCATCGTTCAGTCTACAGGTTTCTGTCCCTGCAGGGAGAACAGCCAGCAGCACGGCTCCCACCTCACCCCAGACCCTCTTTGGTCCTGCCCTTGCTAATCTTACCATCCCAGAGCTCTCCAGCCAGCCAGAGGGGTGCAGGAGGAGCAGGGAGGGCCGGCGAGTCCCTGGCTGTGGCTTGCAGAGGGGCTATATGAGCTGATGGAACGGCTTGACTGTCACCAGCCAGCATTTTCAGAAGCGTTTTGAATTCTCACATCTTGAAATGTTTGCTTTTAAATCACTTTCGTTTTCTGTGTTCTAGGGAACAAGATGTGCCCCGGCGTAGGGAAATGAAACTGCTACAATGATTTTCAAGGTTCTAGATATGGGTGATTGGACAGTGCAGCCTGAACCCGTCCTTGCCCAGGGCCCAAGGGAGCCGAGGCTCTGTTTATCAAGTAGCAGCAATCGTTCGGAGCTAAATTCGGCTCTGAAGCCTCTTCCCCACGCGAGGGCTTCAGGCATCTGGCCTGGCTGACCCCTGACTCTTGTCTGTAGGGTTGTCTTTCCTCATTTTGAGCCATTCTGTAAACAGGAATAAGCATCATCTCAGAGCCTTCCAAGCCAAGTGGTGCTCAGACGGCTGCAGTTGTCGGCCTCACAGACGGTGGGACCAGCGGTCACCACCCAGAAGCTTGTATTGACGTCTCATACTTCCTGTGTGCTGGTCCCACGCCAGGACAGCATCACCGTAGCAGGCACATCACGCTTTCTCCTATGGCACGCTGGGTCCGGCTGTTCCAGCCACGCACTTGTCACCTAGGCCCTACTCTCACCAAGTGTGTTGCTGGCTGTCGGATGTGTGTTCAGGGAGGAGGCGGTTCCTTCTGTGGCCCCATCACCTGGCCCAGGTGGGAACCAGAGGAGCCTAGCATTTTAGGGCTGAAGATTATCCAGTTTGACTCCCTCCTTGAACACAGAAGGGAGTCGAGACAAAAGTGAGTCATTCTAGCAAGTAGAGTTTATTGGTTAAGATCATGGGTATTGCCTGCACTGGAATCCCATCCTAGCTGTGTGACTTCAGACGAGTCGTTTTACCTCTCTCAGCCCCAGTTGCGTCATCCATGCAGAGGGTGAGTGATAATACATTCATCTAGATTTGTTGAGGATTAAATGAGACATTGTAGGGGCGCCTGGGTGGCTCAGTCGTTAAGCGTCTGCCTTCGGCTCAGGTCATGATTCCAGGTCCTGGGATCGAGCCCCGCATCGGGCTCCCTGCTCAGCGGGAAGTCTGCTTCTCCCTCTCCCACTCCCCCTGCTTGTGTTCCCTCTCTCGCTGTGTCTCTCTCTGTGTCAAATAAATAAATAAAATCTTTTAAAAAAAAAAATGAGACATTGTATATAAAGCTGGTAGTACTTGCATCATCATTGTTCATTGGAATGAGAGCAGAGTGCAAAGTTCCCCATCCCTGACCTGTTTCTCTTTTACTGTACATAACGATTCTTACACTCATTAGTATACGGCTACAGTCGAAGAGCTGAAATTGAGTCTGTTGCAAGATCTGAGTCACTTGCTCTGTTAGCTCTTTAGGCTCCCAAACGAATGAAATGGCTGGCCAGAGGTAAAATCTTTCTCAGAATATTACAACTTAAAAAGATATGCCTGATGGGTCAGCTCGCGCAGTGAATATTCACGAGATAAGAAAACTACCCACAGTCAAACTTGTTGTGGTTAATATTTTATCTTCACATATTCAGCCGTAGATATCAATTATTGGAAGTCACATGATGGGGATCTGGCAGACCGTGGGTCTCTGTGGTCTCCAAAGGACTGAGGAGTAGCAGGAACGCATGGTCCGTTTGAGGCTTTGGCTTGGCCTCGGAAAACAGTGCCCGTAGCTCAAAGGTGCAAACCAGGCAGGTCCTGCCTCCTCCCACCTCCGACTGTTTACCAAGATCCATCCCTAATTGCCTTTGACTGTCCCTAATGCCCTCCCTGCACAATTTTCCCCAGTAGAATGGCACCAGTGGAGGTTGAGATTTCACTTTTCAGAAATCCTTGTTAAAGCGAGGTCTCAAAATGCACTGGGCCTGAAACTGGAACCTGCTAATGATACACAGAAATTAAAACCCTACCTCTGAAGAAGCTTCTAGTCTGATCTTTATGGTAGAGATGAGCCTTTTCATGATGGCATCCATCCGCTTGCCTCTTAGATATAAAATCAGAATGCACCTTGGGCTTCTCTGCGACTCACTTTTCTTTTCTTTTTTAAGATTTTATTTATTTGACAGAGAGAGACACAGTGAGAGAGGGAACACAAGCAGGGCAAGTGGGAGAGGGAGAAGCAGACTCCCCGCGGAGCAGGGAGCCCGATGTGGGGCTCGATCCCAGGACCCTGGGTTCATGACCTGAGCCAAAGGCAGACGCTTAACGACTGAGCCACCCAGGCGCCCCTCAGTTTTCTTTCCAATGGCTTATCTTGCTTATAAAGAGTATTTTATACTGAAGTGATTAGATTGGATGGTTGGGAGTGAGAGAGGGCACAGCTCTACTCAATTGGCCATGTAATGTTGATCAGGGCATGAGATTAACTTGCCTGAGTAGGTAAAACTATTCTAATCTAAAAGCCAATTTAATTTCCAATTAGATTCTTTTTTTTTTTTTAAGATTTTATTTATTTGAGAAAGAGAATGAGATAGAGAGAGAGCATGAGAGGGGCAGGGTCAGAGGGAGAAGCAGACTCCCTGCTGAGCAGGGAGCCTGATGCGGGACTCAATCCCGGGACTCCAAGATCATGACCTGAGCCGAAGGCAGTCGCTTAACCAACTGAGCCACCCAGGCACCCCTCCAATTAGATTCTTAATCAAAGATGTTCATTTTGTCTTACAGCTAAACTTCTGTCAAGAACAAATCGAATATTTGAGGTACACTTGGCTTAGCTGCCTCGTAACAGGAAACAGGACCTTGGGGACCTATGTTAAGGTGATCCATTACCATCCGTAGGTGTGTTAATACTGTCAAATAATGACTCCGGCTGTGGGTTTGTTTTGTTTTGTTTTGTTTTTTGCCCCTGGTGTTAACATAAGCTTTGAGGGGTAGGAGAGGGCGGAGGGCTAGAGAAGAAGACAGATGTTAAAGCCAAACCCTCAGTCTGTGTCTCAGCTCCTGGCATCAGGGCTACTTCTTATGGACCAAGTGCCCAAGCCAATGGGCAGCATTCTCTGTAAGGGTCTATGGATCTAAAAATGAAAGTCTATTCTTCAACAGAGAATTCCCTAGATTTCTTTCACATGCAAGGAAAGTGACCTACTGAGTTAGAAAGGGCTACCCAGTGTAGCTAGTCACAAGTTAAAAGCATGGGGAAAGTCTATGGGGAATTCTAAGTCCCTGTTGAAATGCTTGGCCATTGTGCAACTTTTGGCAACCTGTGGTGCTTCTCCGAGGGGGGGCGGGGAGGGAGTACCTGTCAGAAGAGCTTGGAATTCCTGCAGTTTAGGGTAGGGCCACATTTTTTGTTCTTTTGTTTTTTTGTTTTTATTTTTTGTTTTTCTGCAGGCATCACTGTTGCCTTGAGTGGGTCATGGTTTCCAGTTGCTGCCCTGGATGAATTAATGAATTGTAGAATTACTGTTGCTTTTCTCTTTAGTAATCGTTATGTTCTTGTGAAATTGCTGCAGTCATACCATTTTTTTTTTAAAATCAGTTGATTCCTCTAATTCTTGGTTATTTCTGAGTTCTTTTCCTCTAGAAAATGTAGAAATGGGTGACACTGGCCCACAGATTGTTTCATTCCCAAGTAAAGGAAGATGAGCTTTTCTGTTTCCAGCAAGATGGAATTAGTAGATACTGGGTTTGCCCTCTTTTCTGAAAAAACTAAAAATTCAGTCGAACAATTTTCAAGATGGTTGACATCAAGCAGCAAAGGATAATGACCCCTGAGATTCAAGGAACAAATGAGGTAAGCCCTACAGTTGCCCCCGTTTCCTGCCTGGAAAACATTTCCAGACCAGCATAGGGAAGGAGAGTCCAAGTGGAGCCCAGTGATCAGTGATCTCCCTGAGTTCACAAGGCAAGGTATCAGAGAGGGGAGGAGAGGGCTGAACAGCGTGGATCTGGACTCTGGCTCTGCAGAGGGACTCTCAAGTACTAGCTAAGTACTGATCAGTGTGCACATTTGAGGAAAGTCTGTGTCTGGAGAAAAAGCAACATGAAAGGATTAGAGGCAGAATCCTCAGAGCTCTAGGGCAGAAAGTAGTGCTGGTTTCTGCCAGCCAATGTGGAAATCCTCATAATTCACCTAGCATTTGGATAGAGTACTCAGAAGGGTTTTGCCTCAGTAGCAAGGAAAAATGAGTCCTAAACAAAATGCCACTCTAATCTCATCTAACAAAGCTTAGAAGCAAGACCCAAATGAATCAGACTATTTCCATCTTAGATCCCAGAACTAAGCTCAAGAAACTTACTGCAGTACAAAAATACCCAGTACCAAACAAGATAAATTTCACGGTTTCCAGCATCCAATCAAAAATGACCAAGTATGAGGGGCGCCTGGGTGGCTCAGTCGGTTAAGTGTCTGCCTTTGGCTCAGGTCATGATCCCAGGGTCCTGGGATCCAGCCCAGCATCAGGCTTCCTGCTCAGTGGGGAGTCTGCTTCTCCCTCTGCCTCTGCCCCTCCCCCTGATCATGTGCTCTCTCTTGTTCTCTTTCTGTCGCTCATTCTGTCTCTCAAATAAATAAAATCTTTTAAAAAATTACCAAGTATGCAAAAAGCAGAGAAATATGGTCTATAATAAGAAAAATCAAATAGCTGAAATTGATCCAGAAGTGACACAGATGATAAAATTAGTAGTCAAGAACTTTGAAGCCATGATTAAAAGTGTATTCTATATGTTTAAGAAGCTAGGAGAAAGACTGAACATGTTACACAGTGACATAGAAAAGACCCAAATCA